ACAAAAACAAAAAACAAAAAACAAAAAACTCACACAGTCGAAGATAAAAGAGCTTTAATTAATGAAAAAAAAAAAGCATGAAGTAACATACAAAGAAAAGCTTTAAGCTCACAAAGCATGCCAATAACACTAGAAAATATGTACTGATAAAACCTGAACGAGGCTTTTGTTAAACAAGATTACATTCAATTTCCCAGTTCTCAATCTTTGTACCATAGCAGACTTTTTACAATTTGAAAGCAGATGGATAAACTAATAGCAACAAATGCCTTATCGGGAACCCGGAAAAAGATTCAATCATCAGTGCCAAAATAACGATCTCCAAATTCTCCCATACCCGGTATAACGCGAAATTCTTCATTCAGTGCCGCATCAATCTCTGACGTCACGATTTTCAATGACGGGAAGCGTTTGCAAACACAATGAATTCCTTCGGGTGCCTACAAATCGACAGATGACGAAATGTAAGAAAATAAAACAATATATAAATATGTCACTATACACACTTGATGAATTGCACGAATTAATTCCTCACCGAGATGAGGTTTAGGAATATAATGTGAGATTCGGGAACTCCTTTTCGTATAAGTAACTCAATCGCCTGGTTAGCTGAGTTACCTAGAGTACATAAATTTCGATATTACATATTTGAAGCAAATAAATAAATAAATAAAAATAAAAATCAATGTTGAAGTATCAGCATAAATTTATCTACCTGTTGCAAGTACAGGGTCAAGGAGGAGAACATGGCGTTCAGAGATATCATTGGGAAGCTTTTCATATATAAGCTATGCAGTCATCAGAGATTTCACATAAGAAAAAATAGAAACTGAATTTTGCGATCGGCCACTAAGATCAAGAAATAGTATGAGAGGCTTAATATAAAGGGAAAAATAAATAATTAAATAAATAAACCTGCTGCCCATTGTCACCATCACGGTGGATCAAGATTTTCCCTATTTTGATCCCCTTGCAACAGGCACGTAGTGCATTTTCCATGCTTTCACCACTGGGAAAAAAGACAATAAATAACTTCACTTCGCTATCTAACCGAACCTCAAGGTATCAACAAATAAATATTAACAAACCATTTTGGCCAATTGATATTTTAACATCACTTGGCAAGTATCTCCTTACCTTCGAATAATGGAAACACCACACAATTTCTTGCAAAAATCAACACCAGTATACAATGAGTCTGCATCAGGAACCCAAAGAATTGAAGAGAAATGAATCGATATTTTTCTATAAACATAACACCCAATCATGAAATCAGATAAAAAGTAGATGAAATAACTTTAGAGTATTTCATTCCAGAATACATATAGTACCAGTAGGAGTGACAATTTGCTTCTCAGTGAAGGGTAAATGGCCAAGACCATGTTCCACAACCTGAAAATGTTATATAATTGAGTTAAAAAAAAAAACCCATATTTGCCACGACTTTGTAAGGGGTTAAGAAATTTCATGATTACCAGGCGAATAAGCCGATCCGAGTAAAATACAAAATCATGTTTTGAAATGTCTCGGTCTCGAATCAGGGTATGCATGCCCCTTATCTGTAAAACAGAAGTCACTGGATCGTGTAAGGATATAATAGCATTCTTTGCCTTCAACCAAACAAATAAAATGAAAAGAATCCAATGAAATTGAGAAAACTTATGTGATAGTCCCCTCGAAAACAGGATTTCAAAATTTGAAGTGAGCTAGCATCATACCTAAAACAAGAATAAAACAGAAAGCATACCTGGAAGGTCGACTGTATAACATACACATTTGGATATATTTTACAAAGATTATGTTGCCCGAGCTTGGTGTGGATGTGTTGAACAATCAAATCAATAGCAACATGATTGTCACCTCCACGGGGTATAATAACATCAGCATATTTTTTCGAAGGCAGAACAAAATCATCAAAAGCAGGCTTCACAAATTTTGCATACTACACCAAAGAACAATATTCATCAGCAATATGTTAGTAAAGTTGCAAATACAAATATCAAAGCATGTACAACGGAAAATCGAATTTTTTAGTATATCCAAGTAACGGAATTACAGTAGGAGCTTTTAGTTTTGTGATTAATGAAGAAGAGGATTAATATATCACATAAAGGATCCCGAAGAGTTCAACATTTGCTCAACTAGGTTAAAAAGTATATGAAGAAGAATGGGAGGACAGTATTAAGCAGGATAAACTAGTGACAACTCAGCCATTTAACTCAATCAATTTGAGACATTCCAGGGCAGGAAAAATAAATAAATCATATGATTAACTAAGGAGACAATAATGAATGAGAGACTCGCCTGTTCAAGGACCGAGTTTATGTCCCTACCCCTCTCAACGGTATCACGCCTTATTCTACGAGCAAGCCTCACGTCAGCATCTGGCCTCACCAATATAGAGCAACAAAAGGTCAAACTAGCTCACAAAAAATGAAATAGTAAACAAGTTAACCAGTACCAGTGTCAACAAAAATCTTCATGTTCATCAAGTTCCGAACTCTTTGATCATGGAAAACGAGGATGCCCTCCAGTATGATAACATCAGATGCATTCACCTGGAGTCATAGGATATCAAAGCGTTTTAAGAAATTAGAACAAATCACCCTGGAAATTAATCAGACACATTCAACAAATTGTTATTTTCTACAATAATATCTTTTAACTGTATCTATATGATGGCCCATCAAAGCGGACCAGCAAACAAACCAAAATTTGCTCGCTACATCCAGGAAGTTTACAATATTTTGACTTGAGCATGTCTACCTGGCGGAAGCTTTCCGAACTCCTCTGATGTGTTTTGAAATCATAAATTGGAACTTGAACTGGTTTTCCACACCTCAGCTCTTCGACACACTCAAGGAGCTGCTCCGTGTCAAAGGCATCTGCAATGTAAATTTCAAACTAATTTAAAAGAATTTACAAAATCAATTAGTACTAAACTAGGAAAAAGAACTCAGATTAAGACAAGCAAGATCAACTTTGAAATCTGTAACTAGCTTACCTGGATGATCAAAATTGTACTCATGCACATGCTCCAACTCTTCAGGAGTCAGACCACGGTAAAAAGAATCCTGAAGAAGAAAACAAAACAGACTTTTCACCAATCTAAACAGGCTACCTCCATTAATGGATTTGGAAAAATAATTGAAGAAAGTTGCTCAAAACAATATTCAATAAATAAAAATCAAATAGAAACGCCAAATACGAAAACGCATAAATGTGAAGCACAATCAAAACCTGATTGACGAGCACTACACGATGGTCATGAAGCTGTTGTATGATCATATCACAAACCGTCGTCTTCCCAGACGCCGTCCCTCCCGAAACCCCTAAACCCATATAACAAAAACCATCAAGTTGGAACACAAAGCATAAGAAATTTACAAACAGTGCTTGCTTAAACCTCAATTGAAGAAAAAAAGAAGCAAATTACCGATCACGAAAGGCTGCTTGAGCGTGACGGCGTCGGCTAAGGGAGGAGGAAACACCGTTGGAGTTACGGCGCCAGAAGCGCGCGGAGAGGAGGAGAGAAGGCCGTCGAGGCGTAGGCCGGAAAAGTGAGGGCCGGAGGCGGCCTCCATGACGTAATCAATCGCCGTCGTCTCCTCCGGCATCCTTGATTTTGGGGGTTCTAAAAGTTCGAATTTTGATGAAAGCTCGAGTCGAGTTCAGCTGGATAAGCTCGACTGTAAAATGCTCCTGATCAATATTAACTGTTGAGAGCTCGAATAAATTATTTAATTTTAATGAATCAGTCGAATTGGAGCTTAATTAGAATATCCACAATGCTTTGAGTTTAATCACAAAAAATTCTACGCCACGTGAGAAATAGACTTAGTCTACAAATATATATTCTGCAAACAAAAGTAGACTGGGTCCTGCTGATGTGGCAGCCAGAAAAAGAGACCCGGTCTACCCTTAAGTCTATTTTAGACCCAAGTAAATACCTAGTCTCTTTGCATTGAAGTAAATTTTATTAATTTTACATACTTTTATCCATGTCATCCAAGATTTGGGTTTATTTACATGCCACATAAGCAAGACTAATGCATTGTAGATGCTCTTAGATGTTAAAGCTCAATTCATTAAGCCTTAAATTCAACTCATTGATATTGACTAACAAACCTAATTCGAGCTAATTAATCAGTTTGTTTAGTTAACATATGACATCGATTCGTTAATCTCGAGCTTGACTGACTTATTTAATAAACGAACAGAAATTGAACTTCGACTCGTTAATATTGACTAACGAATATAACCCGAGCTAGTTATTCGGTTTGTTTAGTTAAAGTCTGACATCAACTCGTTAGTATTGACTAACAAACCTAATTCGAGTTAGTTAATCAGTTTGTTTAGTTAACATATGATCTCGATTCGTTAAAGCTCGAACTTGACTGACTTATTTAATAAACAAACAGAAATTGAACTTCGACTCGTTAATATTGATTAACGAATATAACTCGAGCTAGTTAATC